GCGTTTGTCCTGTGCGCATTTGTGTCATTGCGGAATTGTCTGTGCGCGTTTGTCGTGTGCGCAATTGTCTTGTGCGCGTTTGTCACGGAATCTGTTACGATATATAAACACCTAGCTACTCCCTGTGTTACGCCCCTATTGCGTTCAATGAATTTGAACAAGCTCGTGGTCTATGGGATTTGAAAAGTGGGTAGATTTTAAACTTACTATTGGCTAAAATAAAGACGATCAGTGCTTTACATAAATGTACTTTATTACATGGAATATAATGTGAACAAAGATGCATAAAATATTCATATGACGAAATGAATAAATGTCTAACACTAAAAAGATCTAAATCTCACAGTAATATAAACAATACTATCACAAGTCTAAGTTCCTGGAATTACTATTCCTGCTAACTATTGAATGGCCCTATCTAGTACCTAGCCAATGCAATGTTTTTAGGCTGGGGTCCCTTGACGCCCGTGAGCTTGTATAACGATGACAATAATAAAGAAGACTAAATTAACTAAATAAAACGTTGAACCAAATATCCCTTCAATGCTTACAAAGCGTTAAGTTATTTTTTGTTTCACGCACAACTTTGGGCCCCTTAAATATCCAAGGAAGGGGTTGCGACGCCTCTGGTTGTAAAGTTACATACAAAAACTACAGAACCGTTTGTTTAATTAGTGAGTAAAAATTTAACGTATATGACCGTAATATGACGGTGAAGCGATTTCTTCTATTGACACATCAATTCTGAACACTGACACTGAACCCACCAATCATGTTAACTGTTTTGAAAACCATGTATGTATTAATACGCCAAGGCTTTAAATATATCCATTAATTATTATAAAAATAATACTTTGAGGGAATAATTATGGATAGGTGGTTACATTTGCGAGAATAAATATAAAAGAAAAGAATGGGTTTTATGTGCCGACCGTGCGTAAAGATGTAATATACTTATGAACTATATTTCTATTGTAAGTCGGTATCACAATTCAAATTGTAAGATTCGTGATAGTTGGCGCGGAAGGGCGCCTTTTTAAGATTTGTTTGTTTTCATGGCTCATGATTTAACACTGTTTTTAATTGTTTATGAGAAACAAACACAAGGACAGTAAGTCAACTTATTAAGTATTTAATAAAGCGTTGCTCTATTCTTGTGAATCATCACTTTTTATCGACATCACCACGTAGGCTCATGTCATGACATAAGACATGAAATAAAAAAATTTTTAACCGTGCGCGGCATTTTAACTACTAACTATCTGTCCACGGAATTATTATTGATGCTCAATTATTCCCAGTTATTAATTGTAGTTAGCATTGAAACTAGATTGTGTTATTTTATTATTTTGTATCAGATGTAGACTATAGTATTCCAACTCCTAGAGATCTAGTGATAGGGCTTTTATTTTAATTTCAGCATCCTACTTAGCCTACGCCTACTAACTACTAGTATTAGTTAGCTGCAAAAGGCTTGGCCTTGAGCCATTTAATAAATGATTTATATTTACTGGGAGGGGTTAGCCAAAACCTAGACAGTCATTGCTATCATTCACTATGACTATGCCACTATGAGTAAACTATGTCATGTGTCGTAACAACACTATTGCTAGCATTGCTGATAAAGATTAGTAGTGTAGGCTCATAATATAATATCATAGTCAAAATATTTTTAACACAAATAAAAGCCAAAAGCCTGAAAAGCTCATCCATTCCTTCATCTGTGCAATGATAATTTTTAGTTGCTTTTACAGTTAGGGGCTCAGGTGACTTGTTAAGTTAAACATAAAGAAGCCATGCAGCATCTAAATCTATATCATTATATAATTATTGAAAGTTAAAAAAAACAAGTAACAGGTTTAGAAACTCCCATCACAAGCTAGTCTTTCTTAGTCTTAAAAGTTGAGACTTTTAAATTTACTTTCATTTAAAACAAACTAATTCAAATCATAAAAAAATCACTTCAACAGTTGGAGTCGGTAGACTATTCTTCATTATTATTTGTCATTATTCATAAAATCTCAAGTTAAATTAAGTTCTAAAATATTTTTAGTAGTTTTATTTTATTATAATTAGAGGCCTGTTAATTTATAGGACATGTAAAATACTTTCAAGACATTCATTTGTGACATAAAAGTAGTTTTATTATAATTAGAGGCCTGTTAATTTATAGGACATGTAAAATACTTTCAAGACATTCATTTGTGACATAAAAATGTTCCTAAATTACTTATTTCACATGAATGCCTTTTTTTGTTTTGTTGTTGTACACAGTCAATTATCTCAATATCACATGTTATAGTAGGCCTGATCTGATAAAGTAGGCTAGGAGTTTTTTTTATCGTTATTTATTTATGACTTGTCATTTAGTATAATACTATAATTATATTTTTTTTTCAGATGAATCTTTACGGGAAGATAATTGTCATTAAGCGAAATGGTACGGATGGTGCTCACTTCCCACTAACACAAAATAGTTGCCTGTTTGGAAGGTATCTGAATTACTGAAGCTTGTCATTGGTTATAAAATAGATTATTAAAATTAGATTATTTGTGTCAATTTAACTTTTTTTTAAAAATTCTAAAATGAGCTGATTAATACCTTTTTTTAAGTATTTAATTAAGATCATTGTCATGGCAACATTGTTTCTCTGTAAATAAATTCTTGGTTCTGGTATTTTTTAATGACAATTGCTTATATTTTCAGGGGTTTGGATTGTGACATCAGAATTCAGCTGCCAAGTGTTGAAAATCAGCAGTGCCAGATTAACATTGATGAAAAAGGACATGTAAATGATTTATTATTTTTTTATGATGATAATCTTGGGAACATTACAATTTGCAGAAAATATTTCAATTTTCAAATTAGTATTTAGTATGTCTGATTTTCTTTTAAAGAAATAGCTATTTTACTTTATTTTGCGGCATAAGCCTAATAATCTATTTTTGGAAGCTATAACTGGTTGTGTTTCTATTAGCATTACTCTGCATTTATAGTGAATTTTTTAACCATTTAATATTTAAAGGGGTTGGACTACAGACCTGTTTACTCTTATGATTTTGGCGTACAATGTACGATTTTGAGGTGTATACATTATATATACTGTATGTTTATTTTTTACTATGAATATAAGGTATTGAACAATTTTATGATGGTATTGTACGATTTTAAGAGTTTGAGGGTAAACATGTCTGGGACTAGCTACTTGAAAGTTAATGGTAGTTTTAAAATTGTTTTCAAAAGTAATTGCATGGATGGTGATTCTTGTATTTCAGGTGTTCATGAAAAACCTAAGCTCATTGGCACCAACCCTTGTTAATGATAGAGCCGTATCAGATTCATTGATAGCATTATCCCATGGAGATGTTATCACAATTATCGACAGACAGTTTCGTTTTGAGTTCCCTGCCAACTCTCGATTTTACCCCAAAAATTCACTGAATGCGAAGAGTCCTAAATCTCCAAAGATTTCAGTTGTAAGTTCAGAAATACATTACCTTCAAATTTATTATTTTGTATCATGTCTTTGTTTTAGTTATTATTTTCACTATAATTTGTTCCCTTGAGCTAGCGGTGTGATTTGAAAAAAATGGTGATATTTTAAGGCACATTAATTTCACTTTAATGTTCTTTTAAATGTAGTTATGATCACAAAATATTTTTATTTAGGATATATGTATTGGGATTCCATGAGGTGAATATTTTCACATAGCACATGGAAATGTGTTTAGAATATTAGGTATTGATATTTGCTTTGTCTGGTGATAAATTCATATTGATGGTGGGGAAAAAATTACACATAGAGTCAAATAATATCCTGTTCTTTCCTTAGGGACTGGGCTCGCTCTCTCTCTCTCGCATTCAAGGTCCTCCTTGCTGCTTCACTTTGACACATTGAAACTTAATATATTTCTTATTGAAAAGGAATTTTTTTATTGTGGCAGTGTCTCTTATCAACCTGTTTGAAAAATGGATATGTAAAAACTATATGTTAGTGGGTGCAATATGTGACTAATTTTTAAATTAACTTTTTATTATTTACTTCAGGCAGATCAAACTTCAAAATCCCCAAGAACCTCTGGGAGAATATCTCTTCCCAAACCACTAAGTCCTAGAACAGATAATGTTCCAGAAAACGTTACATCTCCTAAACCTGGAAAGAAATCACCACTTTTACCAAAGTCACCTACTTTGACAGCAAATAACAACAATGCCAATTCCCACTTGAAGTCTACTCCAGTTACTCACATCATGACACCGGCCTCATTTTATAAGGCAGCTGGAACACCAAAGGTTCTGAAAAGACTTTCATATGTTAAGGTGACACCTAGTCCGGCTGTACTCTCATCAATCAGATCTCCAGCTTCACAGGGCCAGGTCAGTTCCAGTTTATGCTCTTATTTTACAAATATTCTCATTTTAACCTTCTAAAAGGAAGCCATCTGTCAGTCTTGACATTGCATTTCTATTCTATTGGTAGTTGGGATCCACTGCATGTTTAATTTTGTGACATTTATGCTTTATTGGTAAAGTTTAAAGATTTCTGATAGCAGGTAAAAGAAACTGCTCTAGTTTTGAGATGCAGCAAATATTTATCTATATCAGTCTCATTGTAGACCTATATCTGTCAAAAGCCTCTATGTTTATTTGGAGGAATATTACAAATAAAAATTCATGTTTTTCCCTGCTAATAATTATTTGATGTCTACCTTAACATATCAGAAAAATGGAGGTAGCCCTTATCCCAAAACTAATACAAACCTACGAAAGAGTATTGGTGACCTTAGACGACGGTCCATGCCCTTGTTTGAAATGCAAGAAGAAGACTCAAAAATACAAGCTAGTGTTAAAGGTAGATGCATTATATTTTATATAGTTATAAAACATTTTTAAAAAACTTTTCTTTGTACTGCAATGCTCCAACATAGTATTTTAAAACATTGCAATTTCGTTTTAAAAATACAATTATTTTTATTTTAGTTCCAAAGTCGCCTCTTCAATTCAATGCGAAAAGAAAATCTGTTGGTACAATGGCTTCAAGTATCAGGAACAGCAAGCGTGTATCTTTTGGTCCAAGTCTTAGCCCTGAGCATTTTGACCAGTATCTTCCTCCTAAAACTCCTGTGAAGAAAGGAGCATCCCCATCTAGGTTAAATCAAGGGCGAAAATCATTGCTTAAACATAATTCACCAAAGCGAATTACGCCACGCAAATCCACTTCGCCAAGAAGATTGTCAACAGATGTCAACCTAAGCGCTCCTAAAGCAAACTCGGTTTCAAAGCAGCCAATGACTCCAATAGGTATTACTGAGAAAAGAAGCCCTTCAACAAAAGCCAGTCCTCCAAGTACTCATGTTGAGAAAAATCTTAATTCTCCCTCGTTACAGAGTGATAAGTCGCAACACACATCACCAGTTAACCTAAAGTCTGAAACTTCAACTCTTCAGTCTCCTGGATCTAAGTCAGCATCTCCCACTTCTATTGCTAAATCAGTTTTACAGACAGCCAATTTAACACCTTTGTCACCTAAGAAAGGAAAAGATACCTCCAGCTTCACTCCAAGAAGTTCAAAGAAAAAGTTAGCTTCAGATTCTTCAATTAATGATTCAATATTTTCCTCCCAGGACCTCTTTTCTCAGATGACCCCAGTAACTCATAAGGGTTCTCAAGTCGTTGAACAAAGCGCATATTCTGAGGTCAAGATGATTATGAAGCCTGGAAGAGCAAGAAGTGATGGGCAAAATGATGAGTGGCTTAGTGGAAGAGCCAAAATTAAAAAGCTTGGTATGGACAGAGCCAAATCATTAGGGGCAAGCCCACCTGCTCACATTGATATGGACAGCCATGTTAAAATTAATGCATTGAGCCCATATGGGGGTAAATTATTTAAAAAGACACCTATTGTCAAAAGATTGGGTAGGCCTAGGAAGGTATCCGATGAAAGCCAGCATGGCAAGACTGCTGGTAAACAGCCTTCTGAAGTTTCACTTGTTGGAATTCGAGAACTTGTGAAAACACCAAAATCACAAGTTGCTGATATCAGTTTGTCGGGGATATCATCTTTATTTAAATCAGGAAATCGTTCAACACCAAATGTGAGAAATATATCTGCCACCCCTGGCCCTCTTAATCAAAGCAAAGTTATTGATACTCCGAGACCAGTCTTTTCAGCAAAAAGAAATCGTCCTCCTAAAATGTTTTTTGATGAATTAGTTTCACCTCCTAAAAGTAAATCTAAGACACCAAAATCAACGCCCACTAGCCAGAGAAAATCACAGCTTGTTGCTCAAGTCAGCAGTCCTGCAAAGATCGCAACACCACCACAGGATTTCAATAAAGTTGTTGCTCTCAGGGCCATTCATGGCCATGCCGTTACTCCAAAACTAACATTTGGAAAAAGAGGAGCTACCCCCAAGAACACTCCTAAGTCAACCAAGAAATTTGGCTCTATCAAGAAGTCCCAGGTTGTCAAGACCTGGTCTGATGTTGTGAAATTAGGTGTGCCAGTTTTTAAACCAGCCATAACATCTACATCAGTCAAGACTTCTTTGATAAAAAAGACATTGCAAGTCAAAAAGGTAATTTTTGTTTAATATTAAACTGCACCATTTTAAAATTATTGTTAAAAATTGTTACTTTTAAAAAAAAAGGATGGTTCTTAAACTATTTCATACCATCATCGCTTGAACAGAATAATCAAATCCTGAGCTGGGCTTCCCCCAACCTCTCTCTTTTTGCCACTGTACCACACTCAGAGCATTATTCAAGTTAATTTGACTCAAAATAATTTCCTAGATAACAAATGTCACCATATAAATTTAATTCCCTGTTCATTCATGGCGAAAAATTTCTGTTTTGTCTTTTTTGCCGACATTGATTTCAAAAGAAATAGTCTTGTTTCAAAAACTCACATTAACCCTTTACAGTCCGATGCGCCCGAAATGCGCCGATTTTTTCCTTAAGCGTACAGTCCGATGCGGCCAAACCCGCCCGTTACGACTCATTACGAGGTTGTTTACTTTCGTTCTTAGCACAGCGGAAATCCATTGCGCATTACTATTTATAGTTCTACCGGAAGAAAGCCTCGTTGTCGGCATTTATTTTGATACTGGTTTGACCGCGGTGTGCTTAGGGGCTGATTTTCTGTGATTTTTTTTAAAAGTCGCGATTTTTTCGCTGTAAAAATTGGCTATCTAAGCCTTGGATACACTTTTGAAAGAACTTAGGCCTAATGAAGCTACACTATTTCATGAGTGGGAGGGTCTCTGAAACTATTTTTAGGTTTAACTTTTGATTTAATCATTTCTTTGTATTTAGGTATTTTTTATTTTATTTTTGTTGCTTGTAGTTTATTTTCTGTAAATTAATTAGATAAAGAACCTTCATTTAAAATGGAGTTATGTCCCTTTGCTTGGGCGCTGGGAGTAGACAAGGCTGAATAGGTTTGGACTGTAAAGGGTTAACAATTTTATTGCCTTAGTAGGTGATCCATAACTAAATATTTGTAAAATTCAACCTATGTAAGAAAATTGTCTGCTGCTGATATCTATTACTGCTAATCCCTGGGCATCTTTAAACATTTTTTAACAAGTATTTTATTTATTGTAACAGACATTAAACTTCACCATTTTAACTGACCTTGATAATTATTAGCTACCCTGATATATTATTCAGGGACAAAAGATCAGCTGTACCCTTTTTTCCATATTTTTTACATATATTACTTATATTTGCTATAAAGACGGTGAGCAAATTGCAAGATATATAATTAGCCTTGATATGTAAATAGGCATTGTGTTTTGTTAATGTTGAAACCTATTATGAAAACAATTACAATTATAGAGCCAGTATTTGGGCTACATTAGGGAAAGTAATTGTTTTATGATTGATAAAAGAAAAATATAAAAAAAAACTTTCATCTAAACTTTGGCATCCCTCTTCTGGAGCCATGAAATGCACTACAAGTTACAAGTCATGAGATGCTACACCGCTGATGTATGTGCCAACTGGAAGATAAAGTCAAATTAATCCTCCACAATCCAAGTCTGTGTTTGATGGAGAATCTGTGTATTTCTCATGACATAATCTTTCTGCTTAAGAAATTAATACTAGTGATGGGACCATTAATTGAAATGGTATCGGAATAATCGAAATATCTGGATTTTTCCAAAGCATCGGGAACCGGTATCGGAGCTGAATAATTCAGACCCGATTGCGATACCAAAACGATGATTAAGCCGGTGAAAGCTCAAAGTTTGTTTCGCATTATAATATTCTTTATTTTGATCCGAATAGCATATTGTAAAGCTTCAATAGCAAGTTAATAATCTTTTCTAATCAATTCCAACTTTTATATTAATTACATATGTTAATACCTCGGCACAGTAATACATATATGTAATAATAGCCAGGAATCGTATCGGGATAATTGGGTGGAATCGTTAAAAATGTTGGTATCGTCCCATCACTAATTAATACTGACTGCAAAGAGATACAATAAAACGCACCAAAAAAAAAAATAATTGGTATTTATTATGTTATATATAGCTCTTGCAGTTGCAGTCTTCAAAAATACTGAATTTTTTTTAATGTTTGTACACCATCGGTTGATATCCCTATGAAAAACAAAACCTATCCACTATTTGGGGGAGGAATAAGAGTCACAATAAAAAATCCAAAATTGCATCCAGAGACCTATTGTGTCGAATATCTAAGTTGGTGAAAAAATAATATCAGGACACCAATTTTCTGTCAGATCGTACTTGTTTTGGGCTTCATATTTTTATCAAGATTTTTTTTCAAAATGATATCTTAAGTTTACATGTAAGACAAACATAACTAAATATTTGAGTTTTGTATCTTTTTATATGGATTAATTGCAAAATGATTACAAAAGTATTCCTTTGATTTCAGCAAAGTGGTAGGACCCCTAAGACTCCACGAGCTTTAGCAAGAGCACTTGCACCAACAACTGGACATGCTGAATCCCCAGCCACTATTATAGTTGGCAAGAAGGCCATGGGGAGAGGTAGACCTAAGACTCCTAAACCATTACCACGAAGAGGGAGAAAAGAGTCAATGGTAAGTGGAATCACTTAAGTTTTGATTAACAAAAGTTTTTTTGTTTTTTTTTAAACTGCCATTTACATAAAAATGTCTGTCCACTCATGCATAAACTTCTTTTGATTAGCCCAAGAAATGGGTCATAACTCTATTATTTTTAAAAATTGTGTTAAGGAAAAGTAGTTGTTCAAATTTTTTATTTCATCTATGAAAAATTTATTTATAGAATAGCCTTTTAATTATAATAATTTGATGTTGAATAACTGTATAGTTCACTGCCATCACCATGGTCACTGTAGCCTGAGGCTAATACTATCAATTACAGATGAACTACTGCTAATTTTTATTTCTCATTCATGGTTATCTTAAACCTCTAGGGTCATTGTCGTTACTATCTTTGATATATTCTACATTATTTTGTTGGACATCATTCTGTCGATTATGGCGTACAATGTACGATTTTTAGGTGTATAGATTGTATATACTGAATGCTATTTTTTTTACTATAAGTATAACGTATTAAACGATTTTGTGATGATATTGTACGATTTTAAGAGTTTGGGGGTAAACAGGTCTGATATCTTCATCATCTAAGCTTGCCAATAAATGTGTCGTTTGGGGGTTTATTATTATTTTATTACTATTTGTGGTGGTTGTATATAGCGCAGTACCCCAACCGAGGGTGGGCTCACCACGCTGTACATACAATTTAAAAAACATAATCATGAACTTAAAACTTAACATACCTACATTAATTAAATAAAAGAAAACAAATTTATATTCGCTCCACACATTCAAGAACTATGTACATGTCAAGCCATGGACGGCTACCCAGCAGCATCGTTTATCGATATTATAAGTCAGGATAGTTTAGTTAGTTTGTTGCTGCCCAGAGCCAGCCTCTTAGAACTTAGTTTCATAAGAAATAGGTTAATTCAAAGACTATTTACTGGGGATTGTTGTCAACTTTTTAAGTAATACTTTGTGATTGTTCATTAACGTTATAGAGTTCTATATATATTTCATTGTCATACTCTGAGCATTGATTACTAATTCTGTCTGTTTTTTGCTTACAGAGTAAAATATCAAGAACATCCACTGGTGATACAAGCTTCACTGGTCTAGTTGATCTGTTTGCCTCTCCTCCATTAGACAAGAATCCAAATGAGAGTGCTTTATATGCTGAAATTCCAGACACACCCAATGGACCCGATGAGATGTTTGTTTCACCACTGTCATTACCAAAGAATGCACATCTAAGGAGAAGTGTCAATCTTAGTGGTATACGTGAGCTGTTCTCACAGAAACAGAGTCACTCTAATTTAAATTTAGTGGGAATAAAAGAGCTTATGAAGACACCAAAGAGCAATGGAGCTGTAATAAGTCCAACTGGTTTGAAAAGAATATTGAAAACCCCCAAGAATGTTTCAGTTACGCCAACTGATCTCAAACATTTGTTTGAAAGAAATAAGGTACTTTTAATTAGGGGTGTGCCGGACCCCGGTCCGGAATCCGGTTCCGCCGGATTTTGCACTATCCGGTGAAATCCGGTTCCGCCGGATTTACATGTATCCGGAACAACCGGATTCCGGATTTCGGAATTTGCCAGATTTTGTGACTCACCGGATCATAATCTGAAATAAAAGTAATTCTCTTTCCCGAATTTCACACGATCACGATACATTAATCGATTGTTTCGAGCGTTGAGCTTGTTTAATGTTTAATATTCCGTACATACCAGAGGCTAGAGTCAGCACCGCTAATAGTGGCCAATAGTGTAGGGACTTTGATAAGAAAATTTAAACTTTTTGTAAAAATAAACCAATGGCATAGTTGAAAAGATGTAATTTTTTAAAGAATTATAACACCAAAATCATATTTTTAGCTGTTGTAGTTTTAAAGTTATGAATTTTTAAAGTACGACTTGGTTTGTCATTTTTTAACATGGACTGCATCTCCACATTCTGTGATCTCATTCCACCAATCCCGTCATGCGCAATGACTATATAGTTTATATAAGGCAACGCATTCCCTGCCTTATCACTAAAATACTGTTTAGACTTAGTTTAAACTTTCAACTTTGGCACATGAATAATTAATTAAAGCTTTCCCTGACCAATGGTTTAATAGTTTTTGCACACGGCAAACTCTTATGAATGAAACTCTGAGGTAGTACTACGATACAGTTATGCAAGTGGCTGTGAATGGTTGCCAATGACAACGTGTTGCACACGGTAAATTCTGATCATTTATAATATGGATTCTACCGGGTTGTTAAAGCTCAAATTAAAACATTCCAGTTTAAATGTCTTTAAATGCATTCTGAAACACAAGTTATCAATTATTTTGATGTAAATAGTGATAATAAATTAATATTTCCTAAGTATCGTCAACTTCCGCCATTAAAAAGGGGGGCGTGGCCAACCCCATGGCGAAATTAGGTTGAGCGAGCTGCATAACCTGCTGCGAACGCGTAGAAACATGGCGTCTCTCGTAAGACACTTATCCAAATGGAACGGAACTCAAATATATATCGAAAGTACTAATTTAATAATAAATAGACACACACATCGGAAAATTAAAAACTCGGATTTTTTGGCGCCGATTGCGAATTCCCATACACAAAAAGTAGTAGTCCACCTTGACTTACCGAAGTATCTACCAATAGTACCAAAATCCGGAATCCGGGAGAAACCGGAATCCGGATCCGGCGGATTTCGCATAAGAAAATCCGGATCCGGATCCGGTTGGAAAAAACGGATCCGGCACACCCCTACTTTTAATTCTTTTAATTATAATGATACCGGGTAAGGTAGTTATGAAGGGGTTATCTTAAAGGACATAATTTACCTGTTACGTCATTATGTTCCTTTAACAAAATTAGAAATTGATACTGTTAACTAGATATTTAAAAGATTTCTTGCTGTAGGCTTGTTTCCTATCTTGTAAGTGCTGTGTTCTTAATATTTTTTTTTTTCCCCTTTCTTTTTTAATGCACAGACAAAAACACCAGCCAAGCGTGGCAGGCCTTCATTGGGATCAAAGTGAGTTTTTCATTATACAAATTTGTGAAGCAATATTCTGTCTTCATTACTTCATGGCTGCAAATTGTGTCCATTTTTCTTTAGTTTTATCTTGAATTGGAGGGGAATTATTATTTGTACAAATATAGCAATAAGAATTCTATTCTTGACCTCAACACTCAGATTTTAGATATTAATTTTTAAGTTAAAGACAAATGTTTCCCTTCTGGGGAAGTAAACATGAACGAAATTGCAGCCTTGGGTTTTATGGAATTTGACGTCTTCTGTTCCTATTAAGAATATGGATGATTTGTTGTGGGTATAATTATTTATTGCCCTTTAGATAAAATGTCGCACACAATTTTTATTGCAGGGCAAGCGAAATTCTTTCTCCCAAAGGAAAGACAACCCCATTGGTCAAAGAAATAGGTGGGTTGCTATTGGTGCTTCAATGCTGAGTTAACTTTATGGTTGCACCGATAAGATTGAGAAATAAAAAAATTGTGGAAATTTAAAATTATTATTTCACAGAATACAAATTCAAACGATTCGTCTAATGCCTTCATCAGTACGAGAAAAAGCAAATACTTTTAAATTGACATAAGATATTATATGTGTATCCTGCCTATGCCTAAGTAATCAAAGAAAATAATAACATGATTCCAATACATTCCCAAAAATTTTCTTAGCCCATATTAATTATTAAAATAACTCCTCGTTCAAGGATTACAACTCCTGACCTGGGCAGAGTTAACCTCTGCTGACCACTATATAAAGCAGACTCTTACTTTATAACATATATAGCATCCTTCACTTGAAGAACTATTTAAAGAAAAATGCTGTTGTAAGAATCCATTTTTAGTGTGTGGCTAAAATATGGCAGTGTTGAGCCTATCTCTTAGAGCAGGTGCTGATTTTAAGGCAATAATTGAGGGACATAGCAGTGCCATATAAAAGTGGTTGTCGTACACATCAGAAGAAGAAATAAAAAATATTTTATTTACTATCACTACTATCAGTTGAATGAATTATAAAAATAAGAAAAAAAATATTCTCATGTGGCAAAACAGGCACCACCCCCCACCACCCTCTCTCTCTCTCTCTCTTAATGAATTTTTTTTTTAATGCATTGCCCCCTCTGTATAAAATCTTTGCAAGATGAGGTTTAAAGAGTTTAATTATTCATGAAATAATTTTGTAAATAGTGAAAACAAAACAATACCGAGTATTCTTTTCTTGTTATAAAATGTCAAGGAATTTTTTTGTTTAACAATACAGAAGCAGTTAGTTCACCTGCACCTCTAAATGATTCGACTATTAGAAGATCTATTCCAATTAAGGAGCAAGCTGTAATAAATATAGCACGTGAGTCATATATGAAACAAACATATAGTCTGAATATTATTCCTATAAATACGATGGTCTTTAATCAGTGAGCTAAGCACCAAATAGTTATTTTAAAAATGGTGGCTCTTCAATTGCACTGTTAACATATTCTACGTTAGGGGACATGATATTTTCATAAGCAAATGGACATTTAAGAATTTTTATATTATATTTTCACATCTAGGTGGACTAAAGCGTAAGGCAGATCTCAGAGATGAGCCCGCTACCAAAAGGGCTAAATTTAGCAGCACTCCGCTCAAAGCTCGGGCATCTCCTGTAGATGCTGCTTCCACCCCAAAGAGATTAAAGAGTGAAACACATACTGTTGAAAGTACTGTTCATGAAACGTCTGTTGCAGCACAAATAGAGGTGACAAAGAAAGAAAGAGGAAATGCATCACCCCCTCAGACAAAGTCATCAGTTGCTGAGACCAGTGAACCTCCATTGCCTGCCAAATCTGCCAGTCCTGCTGTTAGACAAGAAAGATCCAGAAAAAAAGTTGAATTCAATGTCACTGAAAGCTTTGAGGAATCTGGTTTAAATAATAAAAGAGTCAGAGGTAAGCTTGTTACAGCTTCCAAAAAGTCACTTGCAGCCAGTCCTGTCAAAAGAAAACGAGGGCGACAATCCCTAGCAGCTGCAAATTCTGTGCCGGAAATCGATGCCACTGTGGTAAATACAACCAAGAGAGGGAAGGCTGATAAAGAATTGTCAATTGTGAAAAGTCCTGTCGCCAAAACAAAGCGCTGTCGACCATCCTTAGAAGTTGCATCTTCTGAGCCGGAAATCGATGCCACTGAGGTAAATAAAACCACGAGAGGGAAGGCTGATAACAAAGAATTGTCAATTTTGAAAAGTCCTGTCGCCAAAAGAAAGCGAGGTCGGCCATCCTTAGAAGTTGCTACTTCTGCGCCAAAAATTGATGCTACTGTGGTAAATAAAACCACGAGAGGGAAGGCTGATAACAAAGCATTGTCAGTTGTGAAAAGTCCTGTCAACAAAAGAAAGCGGGGTCGACCATCCCTAGAAGATACAACTTCTGCCTCAGAAACCAATGCTACTGTAGTAAATAAAACCAAAAGAGGCAAGGTGGATGGCAAAGAATCGTCTATGTCCAAAAGATCTGCCACCATAAGAGAACAGGGTAAATCTGCTCAACTGTCACTACCTGAACCAGAATTTGATAAAGTTGAAGAAGTTAACATGGCCTTCACCAAAAGTGCAAATTTAGAATCTCCTAAAGCAGTTCAATATGTTGCAAGAAATAAACGTGCTAAACGAGGCCAGATTGTTACATCTGAGCCAGTAGATGCTACAGTTGGAGGTGCTGTAGACACTCACAAGGCTGCTAACTTAGTATCACCCAAAGCAGAAAGATCTGTTGTCAAAAGGGGTCGAGGTAAAGCTGCAGAATTGACAATTTCCACCATCATAGCTCCCGAGCAAGAAGTTGATTATAGCGTGGTAACTAAGAGTACTAGGGGCAGAGCAACAAAAGCTGAAAAACCTGTTGCACCTCCTAAGCAAGAGGTTCCTTCTGCCATGGTAACTAAAACTGCCAGAGGCAAAGCTGATTGTGTAATACTGCCAGATATGAACGTTGCTAAAAATCAAAGAGGGCGAGGTAAAAGTGCTAATCTGCCAGATTCATATGTCTCTGCTGTCAAGTTAGAAAATGTGTTATCTCCAAAAGCTGAAAAACTTGTTAACAAAAGAAAGAGAGGTGAACCATCCCTAGTTGTTCCACTGCCTGAATCAGAAGTTGATGCAGCTGTGGTAACTAAAACTACCAGAGGCAAAGCATCAAAAGCTGTCGAACCTGTTGCCAAGAGAAAGCCAGGTAGGCCATCACTGGTTATTCCACTGCCTGAATCAGATGTTGATGCAGCTGTGGTAACTAAAACTACCAGAGGCAAAGCATCAAAAGCAGGCGAACCCGTTACCAAGAGAAAGCCAGGTAGGCCATCCCTAGTTATTCCACTGCCTGAATCAGAAGTTGATGCAGCTGTGGTAACTAAAACTACCAGAGGCAAAGCATCAAAAGCAGCCGAACCCGTTGCCAAGAGAAAGCCAGGTAGGCCATCCCTGGTTATTCCACTGCCTGAATCAGAAGTTGATGCACCTGTGGTAACTAAAACTACCAGAGGCAAAGCATCAAAAGCAGTCGAACCGGTTGCTAAGAGAAAGGTAGGTAGGCCATCCTTAGTTGTAACTAAAACTACCAGAGGCAAAGCATCAAAAGCAGCCGAACCTGTTGCCAAGAGAAAGCCAGGTAGGCCATCTATAACAGGTCTAGAGTCCAATGTTTTAATATCTCCAAAGGCAGCAAGTCCTGTTGCCAAAAGAAGACGGGGCAAAGTTACAGAATTGTCACCAAAAGTTACACCACGGGCAAAAAGGGGACAGGCTAAAGGAAAATCTCCTGTTGCTAAACAAAAATCTCCTGTTGCTAAACAAAGCAGTGTAAAAGTGTTACCTCAGATACAATCAAATGAGCAAGGCAATCAAGCTCAAGAGCAGAAAGTATCAAAGTCTAAAGCCACTGTCCAGAAACAATCAAAGTCTAAAGCTAAGATTGCTTCTCCAAAAGCTACTATGGCGACAAGAACCAGGCGGCGATAAGTTGCTTTTAAAAAACTGTTTCATTAATTAAATTATAATTTTCCAACGGCGTCATCTTTGGAACATTCCTCTGATTTTTGCTGTTTAAGGGAATAAACTCTTGGATTCTTTTTCCATATTTTTAGAATGTCATTTGAATGTACAGGTTGAAAAGTTTCTAATTGTTTTGTTTATGCTGTTAGGTTTTCCAATGAAGTTATGCTCTATCTATCAGTCCAAAGTGCCTTAGCTACAGATATGTGCTGCCAAGTAATGTAGCTCTTGTTTCTGCAGCTTTTTATATTCATATAAAATATTTGTCAATATTTATTAGTATTAGCCACTGCAGCACATTTTGAGAGTAAGCACCCACTCAGCTTTGACTGCAATGGAAGCTCCTTTGGCCATCTCATTATTAGTGTTACTATAAACTAATTGCAAGGGGATATATTTGTTTCTTCTAAACTTATATATATTTCAATTACATTTTAATAAAATTTGCTTTGTTCGAAATGTTTATATATTTGTAGATGTTACAGTATATTACTGTGTACAGATCACTTTGCTCATATTCATTTATGATCTGCTTATCAGTGGCCTTCTACCATCTGGTCCATGACTGATGTGCTGAATTGTGCATGGTATGGCAAGTGGGCTTTTCCATTAAGAGAATTGCATTTTTTGTCCATGAAAATATAAATATTCCAATATAAATATTCATTTGTTTTTGTTTGAGCAGAATATGCCATCTCTTTTTAAATTGATGGTTGAGTCCTCTGCACATATTTGTGCATCATATTGATTCATGTTATATAAAGTTACGTACCATAAGAAAAATAAATGTTTGAAAATAATGTAAATTAATTTTTGTTAATAAATATATGAGTTATAATTTTTGCCTTGAGAATCATCCTTAATACGAAGTTGGTATCGGATAATTTTTAACTCCATTTGATTCTTTTGTAAAACAAAATTGACCTCTACCACTTATTCCATTACACTTGTACTTGTACCTTTGATGTATTGAGTTCATTTTGGGTGGGGGGGGGGGGGTGGATCAGCCTTAATACAAAATGGCTGACACGGGGTACTTTTAACAATGTTTCCTTCTTAAAATAGATTTCTATTGAGTGTATGAAATGCCCAACAAAATGACTTGTAATGGGGGGGGGGGGGGGGGGGTGGATCAGCCTTAATACAAAATGGCTGACACGGGGTACTTTTAACAATGTTTCCTTCTTAAAATAGATTTCTATTGAGTGTATGAAATGCCCAACAAAATGACTTGTAAGATTGCTTTCCTAAAATGCACTGCTGTTCACTGTAACTGTGTTAGAAATACATGCAAAATACTGGCGGATGGATTTTAAAAAAAAATTTTTGCTTGTTTTTCATTTAAAATGATCAAATGTAGACCTTGGGCTTTGTTGTCTTCAGTACCGGTACAGTAAAACAATGGAAATTTGAGGCTGTACCGGTACTCGGGGTTAATAAATGTGCAAAATACAATCAATGTTTTAATACCGCATTTTTTTTACATTTTCATTAGTGACATTTGTGTATGCCACCAAATTTTTATTCATGTTTTGTATTTTTAGAATGGAGACCATTTTTAGCTGTATAAAATCTTGCCATATCTATTTTAGTATTAATTTAAGTTGTAACTTCAGGAGAACTTTGAACACATACCATAATATAAAATCAAATTTTGGCTATTGTTTTAGTTGATGATGCCATTATTATGTACCCTACTACCACCACTACTACTACTGCTGAACTTAAATGTTATTGCCCATTTTTCTTTTTTTTTCATTATTTTAATGATTTGAACATTCTTTTCTGTCAGTAAACATGGGTCTTTTTAGGATCACTGAGGCTTAACATTTACAGGGTCTCTCCAAATCAGGTTGAGCCCCACTGTACAACAAACAACATGTATTGTAATGAAATGACTTTTAGTGATGAATAAACATGATAGTGATAGGAAGGACTAGTGTGTTGGTTTGTTTTGGTTGGGTGTTGGTAACCTGTGCTGACTGCTAGTGTTATGACTGTGAGCATGTCATGTCTTAAGGACTAGTGTGTTGTTTTGGTTGGGTGTTGGTAACCTGTGCTGACTGAGTACTGACTGCTCGTGTTATGACTGTGTGCATGTCATGTCTTCTTTACTTTACTGTACTCAACTCCTAATGGAGGAGCATAGGCCACTAATTCTACTTACCATAACGGTAACAGTTATAATTCCACGCCGTCCAGTCTCTTGATCTTATCCAACTTTTCCCATCCCTTTTTACGGGTGCGTTTGGAACTTCTCCATCGTCTTGATCCTTGGTGTCCCACCTGCATGCCGAATTGTTTGTCTTATCCTATGACCCACTCAGCATAGGGATGCATTAATGATTAAAAGCTCCTTAAAAAAATTTTAGACAAAAAATTTATTAAAATAAAGAGAAAGTAACTAAGCTGATGTCCTGTCCGTTCACCATACAAACATGCTATGCTACAGTAAATTAAAACTATATTAAAACATTACTAAAAATTGTTTGCCCCCCTCCCCTGGAAAGTTAATTGATTTTTTTTTTGCCTCCCCCCCCTAGAAAGTTTTCTGCGGCGCCCATGTTACCAAGTACTTTCAGAGAGGTATAATAGAACCAACACCGTCAGGAACGTTGTAAAGCCAGCCGTTGCAGTAACTTGGCATACGTGGAAGGTGTAGCGCTACTGGGCAGAAATGATATACGGTAATAATTAAAGTTAAAGCAGTTGTTCTTAACTGGGTTCGATCGAACCCCAGGGGCTTGGTGAGTCGGTCTCAGGGGTTCGGTGAGTCGGTCTCAGGGGCTCGGTGAGTCGGTCTCAGGGGTTCGGTGAGTCGGTCTCAGGGGCTCGGTGAGTCGGTCTCAGGGGTTCGGTGAGTCGGTCTCAGGGGCTCGGTGAGTCGGTCTCAGGGGCTCGGTGAGTCGGTCTCAGAGTGCTTGGTGAGTCGGTCGCAGGGGTTCGGTGAGTCGGTCTCAGGGGCTCGGTGAGTCGGTCTCAGGGGTTCGGTGAGTCGGTCTCAGGGGCTCGGTGAGTCGGTCTCAGGAGTTCGGTGAGTCGGTCTCAGGGGCTCTGTGAGTCGGTCTCAGGGGTTCGGTGAGTCGGTCTCAGGGATTCGGTGAGTCTGTCTCAGGGGTTCGGTGAGTTGGTCTCAGGGGTTCGGTGAGTCGGTCTCAGGGGCTCGGTGAGTCGGTCTCAGGGGCTCGGTGAGTCGGTCTCAGGGGTTCGGCGGAGGTAAAAAAAAATATTTTATTTTTCCTATTAAGAAGGGTTCGATGAATGCGCATAGGGGTCATCCATAACAGACGTCCACACAAAAGGGGGGTTCAGCAAAAAGTGGACAAAAGGGGGGGAGGGTTAGGACAAAGTGGATGTCCACATAGTAGTGTTTTTTTTAGTGCAGCAGTTTTTGATAAATTTACTGCCCGATCACAGTTACAGTAGCATGCCTTTTGATCTCTATTGACCATCGGTGGCTGGAAGAATTTCTAAGAGAAAATGTTTCTGCGGTAAATATTTCCCATCACAGGCGGCAATGAAAAATCATAAGGTCGTCCATTGCAATATTCCTGCTAGTGAACATAATATGGCAGACGAATCAGACGAAGAGACTGCCACTCAAATTGAATTAGCAATTGAAGACTCAAGAACAAATGTTGTCATTATACGAAACATGTTTGAATGGCTGCAGTCCGAATTTTCCGTTGATTGAAGAATGGTGGATTATTTGTTTATTACATTTTTTTAATACAGTGATTCAATAAAATGTTTTTGAACAGTTATTATTTCAATTCGAATTTTGCCTGCAAATAATTGGAATTTCTATTAAAAAAAATCTTTGTAAATACGTACTCTTTATATTGTTGTACATTTTCCCAAAATATTCATTAATTTAAGTTCGGTAAATTTTATGTTTTGGACCACTGAATTAAAGCATTCATTTAGGAAACTTGAAGATGCCTCAGTCAAAAGCTGGTCTTGATGTAAATGAAGCGAAGACAAAAGAAATGATAAGGTCACGAAACACGCACACTGATGACAACATTAATCACACCTTTGAGAGAGTGGCTACTTTCAAATCTCTAGGGACCACTTATATTATAAATGAGCAGAATGAAATAATGTCGGAGAGGAAAGACAGGATTAAAGCAGGCAACTGTTCTTATTTCCCTACAAAAGCTACTACTATTAGTAGGCACTAGGAAGCAAAAACCTCTCAAGGGGAACAAAGAAGACAATATTACTATCAATATCATAAGACCAGTAGTAACTTGCGTTAGTGAAACTTGGTCCCTTACCAGAAAATCAGAGAACCTACTCAATACATGCGAGAGGAAAATATATTTATAGCTCAGTGGTCAGTAATAGACTTTGTTTGGAGAGTCCTAACATGGGCCGTAGCGCCACTGATGAAGATGACTTGACATTGATAGAGCCATCCACATAGTAGTGGTACCTACGCACAAAAAAATAATTAAAAAATTTGACCCCCGGTTGCATGCGTAAGGCTTTAAAACAAACCAAAAAAAATCAATGTATTTATAGACAGGCATGGCGTCACAGTAAGTGTTTCTTTCAGGCATTTTTTTCCCGGTGAGGGGGTGGGATTTAAGATTTTCGAGGTGCGGGGGGGGGGGGCAGTGCCAATGGGCCATGTCCAGCGGCGGAGCTAAGGGGGGGGGGGTGGGACAAACGTCGCGGGGCGCGGGGTTAGCTTTAAGGGGGCATTAACAACANTAACTAGAGAGTGTGTGCATTATCATACACATTTAACTAGAGAGTGTGTGCATTATCATACACATTTAACTAGAGAGTGTGTGCATTATCATACACATTTAACTAGAGAGTGTGTGCATTATCATACACATTTAACTAGAGAGTGTGTGCATTATCATACACATTTAACTAGAGAGTGTGTGCATTATCATACACATTTAACTAGAGAGTGTGTGCATTATCATACACATTTAACTATAATAGCTTCAGAAGGAATCGATATAGAGGAAAAATCGTTTATACGAGGAACTTGAAGTTGGATCAAAAACTTTCTACCTTAACTAAATGTCACTATGTCAGAAAGGTAATCAGTTTCATTCCTCTCACTAATGTAAAAATAATAATCAGTTTTATTCCTCTCACTGATGTAAAAATAATCATCAGTTTCATGTCTCTCACTGATGAAAAAATGTGCGATTCCGGTGATTACCCTCCAAAAATATGATACAGTTGTACCTCGGTATACTTCTTTAATCCGTTCCAGATCCTTGGACTTAAACCAAAAATGACGTATACCAAACAGGACGTATACCAAACATATTTTTCCCACAAGAAATAGAGAGAAAATGATTAATTCGTTGACATGAACAAAAATCATATTGTTATTGGCATATTATAAAATTATTGAAATGG